AAGATGATTTATACTGTATATAGAATCTCTAAAGAAGCACAAAATTGCTTTCAAATACAAATTAGTTTGAATTTTAGTAAATTTTGGAAGTATTCTGTTATCATATTTGCCCTTCTATTGTTGTTCTGTGAAAGATTTTAGATTTAGATTTTCCATACCAGTGCAGTCCTGTGCTACATAAACGCTTATCCCTTTCAGCATCGCATCTACTGCTTCATCAACAGCTTTTCTGAAGGAAAGAGAAGAGTGACAGGGTAAGAGAGATATTTGACAATCATCATAATGAGAAATGGGTAACATAAAGGACTTAAAAAATTAAATCAAATAATGCACTTTTTACCGGAGTATGTGTGCCACAACTGCTGGGCCGTACCAATCTCCTGCCCGTTTTCCAGATGTCATTCCTAGCTGCACTAGTCTGTGGATGCCCAGCTGGGCTGAGGGTGCGTCCCCAAACCAGGACACAATGGTGCGGTGATATGCCTCTTGCAGGTATGAGTCAGCCTCCTCAGCCCCTCCTTGAGCAGCACACATAGGCTGGGTGACCTGCGCTCTTTCCCCCTGAATGGAGGCCTCTAATGTGGCCACCAGTCTTCGTGCTGCACTGCTGGTCCATGTCTCTGTATCCAGGGGCTCCAAGGTCAGTGCTTCTGACCAGGTCCAGTCTGGTGATAGAGAATTTTTTAAAAAGTGTATTTAAAGGATCATGTGACTTTGAAGACTGGATAAATGGCTGCTGAAAATTCAGCTCTGCCATCACATGAATAAATTATATTTTAAAATGAAAAGAGTTATTTTCAATTCTAATAATACTTCATATTACTGTTTTTAATATATTCTTCGTCAAATAAATGGAGCCATGGTCAGCATAATTCGTGTCTTTAAAAAACATCATTAACATCAATTATTCCAAACTTTTGACCAGTAGTGTAATTATATTCTTTATTTTGATAATTACCTCATAAATGATATCTATTAAGAAACAATGCAGTAAGGAACAATGGAGCAGAAGTCTTTCAGAAGTCCTAAAAGTCTGTCCTAGATTTTTGAGTGACGGACATATTTAAATTTGACTTTTAAATAGACAGTGGGGCTTGTGCTTTAAGAACAAAAGTCCAATTACGATACTCCGCTTAGTCAGTATTTCACTTTTATTACATTTAATCCTCACAAACAGAGTGGGTGTCTGAAATGGTGTAAGTACAAGTGCTGAGGGTCATAAAGGTGCCGGACCTGGCTGTGGAGCCATAAGGCAATGACCTTGCTACTTGTCAAAGCCTGTAATTGGCTAATAAGTATATTTTATTAGCCATTAGCCTCTTTATAGACAGATATTTCTATAATGACATATTTCATTATAGACGTGGGCTCTGGATGACGCTTCAGTGTTGTTTTTTGAATGAAGGTATTAAACTGGCAAATGTCGTGGCCTGTTCACCATATTACACAAAACTGCCCTTCGTCAATCATATGAGAACTCATTCATTAGAGAGTGACAACCTCTGACACCGAAATACCCAACCTCTGAAATGAAAAATTAATACAGAATTTCAATTTGCAAATGAGGAGATGAAAACTTCAGCTTCTTAGATTTAAGCAACACACACCTCAGAACTGTTTTTGCAGCTCTCACATGGACTGTTATCATATGAAAACTGTTATATCATTTTTTTTAAATCTACTGTTTAAAAAAATTGTTCACCCAAAAATGAAAATGTGAAAAATGAAGTAATCCACATGACTCTAGTCCATCAAATCCAACACCTTGTTAGGCAAAAAGCTGTGTGTTTGTACCAATAATAAATTCATCATTAAGACATTTTAACTAAAATTTGAGTCCTCTATCCATAATATTGCTTTCTCCAGTAAAAAAAGTAGTTTCGTCTGAATTAGAAGAGAAGTATATGCACAGATGGTTTACAAGCGAACAGTTCTAAACAAATATTTTGGTGAGAAGAAAACACAGGATGGACTTGTTCACTGAAAGAAACGTTATTAAGAACTCTAAATGTCGTAATGATGGATGTTTCTTACAAACACTCAGCTTTTCACTTAACAAGATGTTAATAATGGACTGGAATCATGCTTTTATCAGTTGTTTGGACTCTTTCTGACAGCACCTATTCTCTGGTGAGCAAGTAACGTAATGCTAAAATTCTCCAAATCTGTTCTAATGATGGAACTAACTCATCTATGTTTTGGATGGCCTGAGGATGAATACATTTTCAATACAATTAAACTGTTAATGTCACATAGAAATACATACATTATACACATATGACCCGATCTCACCTCTACCCAAGATGTGAAGCAAGAGAGCCTGGGCCAATATCATCTGCCCTGCCCGGAGTGTACAACCCCATCCACAGTCTGAAGTGATGGTGGAGCCAGGAAGAGCAGGAAACTCTTCTCGATAGGTCAGCCAAACTCGTGAGGTGAAGTCCTTGCGAAATCCATCAACATTACCTGTTACAATATCGTCATCTAATGCCTCAGCAGTACAACTCTCAGTAGGGCTTTCATCATCTGAGGACAACGGTTAGCATAAACATTCCATTATACACCTAGAATATTGGTGGGTGAATTTTATTTTAAAATGCCAGATATATTAAATATGAAATACAATTTTAAAATATACAAATACAACTTTGTGAAACGATTTGACAGATTATCAAATCGGTTTAAATGTTCTGTGTAAATCATCTTACCCACAGCCTTGAAGTGGTAGCATTTGCCCAACAAGAAAACAGGAGAATTACGGCTGAAGGCAGTTTTTGACTTAAGAGCCCAACCTTGAAGGGTTAAAAACATTTCATGATTAGTCACGTGTGCAGGTATGTCAATTTTGTGACGTGAAAGACTGTCAGATGAACGGAAAATGAACATCTTAACATCCTAGTGACATGTAAGATCTCTCGTTACATACTATATTTCACATTGTGCCATGCTGACATAAACTTGGACTTCAGGTTCTCCACCTCGTCGGTCCCTTTAGTCTCCATTTTATCAGCCACGGAGCAGAACCCATCACAGCACATACGATGGAGTTTCTGTGAAAAGTTTTCAGTACGGCCAAAACAAGTTAACTTACATCGTAATTGGAAACATGTCATTGATTTTACTTTCTCTAATGCTTAGATGACATTTCCACCACAAGCATATAGCATGCGATAACGTTGCATATGAAATGATCATCAAATCACTGGCCAGAATACGAATTTATTAACATAAATGCATCTCAAGATACTGGCTGACTAACTTAGCATGCTAATTAATCAGTAAGATAGTTCAGTTTACAAAACTGCCTACAATAAGCGTAAATGCAAACAAGTGGCGAATGCTTTGTAAAATAAGCAATTAAATAATTAAATATACACTTTAAAACATACCTGCTCACATGTATTGTTCACTGTGCATCTACTCACTTCTGTTTACATTTTGAGGAAGCATCCATCTCGTTCGGTCTCGCGGTATTTCAGATATTCTCCCGTCTGGCGCTGTCACGATAGGGATAGCACGTCTGACTCATTTCCACTAAACGGTTCTTTTGAGCTATTCGTTCCAAAGAACTGTTTAAAAAAAAAAAATATATTTATATATATTTTTTTTTTTTAAACAGTTCTTTGGAACGAATAGCTCAAAAGAACTGTTTAAAAAAAAAAAATATATTTATATATATTTTTTTTTTTTAAACAGTTCTTTGGAACGAATAGCTCAAAAGAACTGTTTAAAAAAAAAAAATATATTTATATATATTTTTTTTTTTTAAACAGTTCTTTGGAACGAATAGCTCAAAAGAACTGTTTAAAAAAAAAAAATATATTTATATATATTTTTTTTTTTTAAACAGTTCTTTGGAACGAATAGCTCAAAAGAACTGTTTAAAAAAAAAAAATATATTTATATATATTTTTTTTTTTTAAACAGTTCTTTGGAACGAATAGCTCAAAAGAACTGTTTAAAAAAAAAAAATATATTTATATATATTTTTTTTTTTTAAACAGTTCTTTGGAACGAATAGCTCAAAAGAACTGTTTAAAAAAAAAAAATATATTTATATATATTTTTTTTTTTTAAACAGTTCTTTGGAACGAATAGCTCAAAAGAACTGTTTAAAAAAAAAAAATATATTTATATATATTTTTTTTTTTTAAACAGTTCTTTGGAACGAATAGCTCAAAAGAACTGTTTAAAAAAAAAAAAAATATATATATATATATATATAGTGGTTAACGTTATGTGGTTACTTTTAAAATCAATTGCATCTCTCGGCTGGAAAGTTTTTTTTTATGTTATAATAAAATAACATATTTCTTAAGAGCAACTTTGAATATTGATAAAACTGTCATTCATTCAAGTAGCAAGAAATAATATTGATAGTGTGTTTTATTTGTAAGACGTTTGTTATTTGTCTTTTATGAGTTTGATACACTGATCAGTGGTTTGACATTGTTTTTTGAACCGGTTTTGTGACATTTATTCATTACTTAAGGTTTTCTGCACTTTATAAGTATATTTTGTTTTTTTACGAAGTATCATTATATTATTCATGATCAGAAGAGTCCAAATTAAACAACCACTATTACAAACCACGATGTGTTTATACACCAATAAAGCTGTCATTGTCTACAGATTACAGGACTGGTGGAAGTGGTAACGGATGCATTTAACACTTTTCGCTACACAGATAGCTTCCTGTAAAAGAGCCCTCTATTGTACGCACAGGATATGAATCACTGGGAAGACTCCTCCAACCCACGATCCCAAAAGACTGAAAGATGGTGTGCGTTTATTTTTCCGGCTTTATGGTACGTTCTTGTGCGTCTGCAGCGCGTTATTTTCCCCAGCCGTATTCCGACAAGTCCCGCCCCCGATTTGCTCTCTGTTTATTATGGTTACTACGGCTTTATGAGTGACTTCTCAACTGTCCAATCACAGACTTACTTTAGGCGTCAGGAGGCGGGGCTTGTGGAAATACTGGTGCGGGTGGGGAAGGAATATCGCGGCTGGAGCGCTGGAGTTACTCTCGAGCACTCAGCGGCTACAGTCATGGCTGAGCGCCGCGCCTTTGCCCAGAAAATCAGCAGGTAAGTATATCTAACGCACCTCCATGCTATTGCGTTTAAATATATTCTCCCAGCGCCCTGCGACCATTCTTTGTCTGCTGTCTGATGCAGCTGGCGAGCGTGCCAGTCTTTCCCAAATAAGGCCTAGGCGTTGAGTTAGCTGGAGCAGACGCTGAGTTTATAAGGCTGTCTCAAATCCTAGAGAGCTGCCTACCCAGACTACACGTTTGGGTCGAATAGGCGCGTTTGGAATGCCGTCTAGGTAAGTACCTTACTAGGTTTTGGAACACATCCATAGAGATGCCCGAGTGACCCAGCCTAAGCTGCAAGACAGCAGTATGACGCCTTTGTGCTTCTGTGCATTAAAATCAGTCTTTATCCATGGGTCTATAATCCATAAATGCGCCTTTTGTTAAATCCATCTAGGGATTTAACGATGCAGACGAGGGGGAATCAATGAAATGCAGGGTTTAGGGTTTGTGAGACGATGGCTTGACATACTGACACATCGGGTTGATCATGAGATGTTATACTGTCAGTATGCAAGCATATGGTATATATTAGTGTAGTAGTCAATATACAGTCATATAGTATATGTTTAGTGCACAACGGCTTTGATTACAAGAAGATGATGTTAAACTCTAAAGTAAATAACGAGACTGGAAAATAAATGTAAACAATGACTTTAAGCCTGGAGATCATGAATAATAATTATGCATAATAATTTCTGGTGTATTATAGAGAACACCATCAACTGACAAGGGTTCAGGTTTTCTTGCATGATATTGATGGTTTGCATTGCTGTTGTAGTCATGCAGCTATTATAAAGCCTTTAAGACCATTTCAGACTGAGATCCAGAATGACCTGTAATACAGTGTATGATTAAATTTCAAGCAGATACTTTTCCCTGTAATGACACTGTGATTAATGTTTAGATCTGTTCAGATTTTGGCTAGTGGCCCACAATTTGTGGAGCCGGGGCCCTAGGTTATCATAATAGACTATAATTAAGTCTCATCATTGGCTCAAAAACATCTCTTTTCTGTCGAGATTTCCTTTGTGATGTTAAGTTAGAGATTAGACCGTTTATGGATTTAAAAAAGGAAGTGACCTTTTAGGCTCTCTGGTGGTTTCCACAGTCTTGGCATTTCCCAGATGCTTGAAAATGCTGCCGTCTTGTCAGTGACGTGTAATAGGATGATTAGATCAGTTCAGTATAGACTTTGTGGCACCTGGGGCCTTGATTCCAATCGTTACTTGTTAGTTATCCAAAAAAAAAATGTTTATTGATATGATCAAAGAAAATAGCTATGTGTTTTGTTTTATTAATAAGACAGTATACAGTAGGTGTTACCCATAATATAGAATGCAAAAAGCCCATGTCTATCTAATTTTATTTTACACTGTCAAAGCAAAACCAAAAGCTCTAAAAATCTTGAAGTTCCCCACTTTTTATTGAATGAATTGCTAATTAGATATTCAGATGAAATTTGAAGCTTCTCTGGAAAGTCACAGAAGCTGTTTCTCATGGCTCTGTTTACTTAAGTGCAAGAAGTTTTCAGAGATGTGTGAAATATGCACTGAAAGTCATAGTGTTAGCCGGTGCCTTGGTAAACAACACATCCGCGTGGGCTAATTATCTGTTCTCTCTTCAGGAATGTCCAGCCTAAATAAAGGTCCCTCCAGAACCAACAAGAGCACAGGGGGCAGATTTTTGTTTCAGTGTACTGTACATCATTCTACATGTGTTAGAAGAGATATTGACCTGTGCACTATACTACAACAAAGATATTCTGATAATACTGTAAATTTGGTATAGACCAGACACATTGCTTTTATTTAAACCTTGATGGTATTTTTATTTTTATTTTTTTGCTTGTACTTTACAGGCCTGTAATTCAGTCTGTGAAAACTGAATAATAATAAGTTACAATCTTATGTTATTACTCTATAGTAATGAAACTTTGTCAACCTAACCTGTTGGGGGGGCTTAGGTGTATTTTGGTGTGAACTTGCAGAGTCTAGTCTCCATTACAAGATTTGCTAGTATGTGTTTGTATGTTTCTTTTTAACTATTCCTGCTAGATTTCAAGTGTGATTTGCGCATGGTCATTTCAATTTATATTTAGGATTAAAACTGCTGAATGAATGAAAAATATAGAAAATAGTGGGCACATTTTTCCAGTGCATTATTTTTGTGAGTCACAGATTAGTATTAGTTTGATGTGTCCCAGATTGTTGTTATTTACAAAAGCCTGGGCCAAGAAAAAGATCACAAGACTTTGGCTATATTTGGCATAGCATACTACTTGTACCATTTTAGCAGTAAGCAGTTTGTATACTGTATAGTGTATACGATATGATTGGAGTTTTCTGTATGCTTGGAGTACCTGGATGTGTACTGCTGTACTGTACTGTTATCAAGCCATTTTCAGTGGGATGAAAAATCTGGAAATAATACAAACAATCAAGTCTTTCTTGACTGATTTGTTGGCTCATGTTTGTGAATATTTTTACATACAAAGTATGCAAAATAACCATATTTATTTTCTACATGATGATTCAGTGGCACTGAATTAAACATGATGCAATATAGTGACGTCATGTGACAACAATGTTATATGCATCCATGTTGTCATTGCACACAGCTGTATACCATTCAACAGTTTGGGGTTGGTATGATTTTGTTCGTAATGTTTTTGAAAGGTAGCATATATTTGATTAAAAATACAGTAAAAAGACAAAAAGTTTGTTTTCTATTTTAATATATTTTAAACTGTAATTTGGCAGAATTTGCAGCAGTTATTACTCCAGTCCTCAGTGTCACATGATCCTCAATTCTAATATGCTGATATGGTGCTCAAGAAACATTTTTTCTTAATATCAATGTTGAAAACACTTGTGCTGCTTAATATAATTTTTTTTGAAAACTGTGATTATTTTTTTTTAGGATTCTTTGACGACAAGTTTAAAAGAACAGTATTTATCTGAAATAAAAATGTTGTAATGTGATATAATGTCTTTACAGTTACTTTTGACCAATGTAATGCATCCTTGTTGAGCGAAAGTATTCAAAAAAAAGTAGTGATCTCAAACATTTGAACATTAGTGTTTATAGTAATTGAGTATTTCATTCATTGAGTGAGATGGCAGTCAGGTCATGGGATTCTTATCTGTTTTCTATTATAATGCCGTTCTATGCTGTCTTGTTCTCCAGGACTGTAGCGGCTGAGGTCAGGAAGCAGATTGCTGGTCAGTACGGAGGCTCACCTCAACTTCTCAAAAACCTCAGTGTGGGTGGGAATGCAACTAGCAATGCTGTAAGTACTACATTTCAAAGAGAATATACTTTTCTATCTTAAATCTGAGAGACTGTCTGACACTTCAAAGAGTATTTACCACTATCCCTTCATCATGATACGGACTTTCTTTGAAGATAGCGGCAACAGTTCTCACATTCTCTTTCTGTTCCCCTTTGGATTTCTCCCTACAGATTCCTCTGACAGAGGCTGTAGAGCCAGTGGATTTTGAAGAGTATTTGATCACGCACCCTCCCCTTATAGAGTCAGGACCTCTGAGAGATCTGATCGAGTTTCCTCCAGATGACATTGAAGTGCTTTACACGCCAAGAGAGTGCCGAACTCTTGGCCAGGATGTGCCTGAGGAGGGGTGAGTGTGTTCAGGGTGGATTGTTTCGAAGAACTGAGGCATACATTAGTATGTCTCTGCAAACCAGCATGTACATAGTTCAAGAGATATTATTGAACAAAATTAAATCAGATTGACCGTGTGAACAGTTTTAAAATCTATGCTGTGATTATCTCAATAGTCATATAGGTCTAAAAGCCTTTTTTAAAAAATTTTTTTTTTATACTTATAAATGAATTTGTATATATTGTTTGCACATAAATAGTAGTATCACATTTGTGACCCTGGACCACAAAACCAGTCTTAAGTCGCTGGGGTATATTTGTAGCAATAGCCAAAAATACATTGTATGGGTCAAAATTATAGATTTTTTTTTTATGCCAAAAATCATTAGGATATTAAGTAAAGATCATGTTCCATGAAGATATTTTGTAAATTTTTAAATCAGATTGTCCGTGTGAACAGTTTTAAAATCTATGCTGTGATTATCTCAATAGTCATATAGGTCTAAAAGCCTTTTTTTTTAATTTTTTTTTTTATACTTATAAATGAATTTGTATATATTGTTTGCACATAAATAGTAGTATCACATTTGTGACCCTGGACCACAAAACCAGTCTTAAGTCGCTGGGGTATATTTGTAGCAATAGCCAAAAATACATTGTATGGGTCAAAATTATAGATTTTTTTTTTATGCCAAAAATCATTAGGATATTAAGTAAAGATCATGTTCCATGAAGATATTTTGTAAATTTCCTACCGTAAATATATCAAAACTTAAATTTTTGATTAGTAATATGCATTGCTAAGAACTTCATTTGGACAACTTTAAAGGCAATTTTCTCATTATTTTGATTTTTTTGCACCCTCAGATTCCAGATTTTCAAATAGGTATATCTCGGCCAAATATGGTCCCATCATAACAAACCATACATCAATGGAAATTATTTATTCAGCTTTCAGATGATGTATAAATCTCAATTTTGAAAAACTGACACTTAAGACTGGTTTTGTGGTCCAGGGTCACATTTATTCTTATGGTACGCAGGCATACTGCTTTAACATATTTTACTTGTTCCTCCTCTTAAATAATTTTCCAGTGAGAATGATTCACACGTTAGAGACTGCACCCGGTCTTACACTGAGGACTGGGCCATCGTTAACCGCAAGTATGATGCTTCACGACATCTGTTCTCTCTTTAGACTTCATACAGCCTTTTTCTCCTGATACATGGGATTCTGATGCATGGTTTTAAATATGGAAAATGTGTTAAGTGGAGCTGAAAGTGTTACGTTCTTAGTACCTCTTTGTGATTAACGGATGTTCCAATCCTGTGGAAGTATCTGCAACAGTGTCTGTGGATTTCTGCAGGCACAAATTTTGTGTGGGCCTGCTCATAAATGACAAAGAGGAATTCAAGTGCATTTTGCCTACAGTCTTTCTTCAACATACTGCTTTTATGATACTTTTCACTGGGGCTTTTAACTCAAGCAGCTTCCTAGATATTTATAGGGCCTTCATAAGTTACTGTGAATAAGTTACCTTGGTGATTCTTAACTGATAAGCCCAAACTCTTATCTTGACCGAGTTCATATAATGGTTGTCACTGTGACCATGTATAATAATCCAAACATATACTGATTATTTTTACCCAGTCATTGAGAGAAAAGCAAATGGAAGGGAAGTAATTACTGTCATTAAGGTTGAAAGTTTAGCTTAAGCCTGCAAACTTTCACATATAATTATGTGAACTGAATGTGTGTAATTTTATCCATCAGTGACAAAGCACCACTGAACTGAATTTTAACACTACTATGTAAAATACTCATTACATAATTATTTATAATAATAATTTGGCGATGATTAAACAAAAGTCTCTTAATTCCCAAAAAATTTTTAAATGTTTTTCTTTTTTAAATGTCTAATTATGTCATAAAAATACTTTCCATGTAGGCTTGCTGTGATAGACGGTGTTTTCAGTTACGTCATTTGCCTACCGCGGCACCGCCCCCCACCGTCGTTTTGATTTTTTTATAGTAACAAAAATCATTTAGCCTAGTTCAGTTAGAGGACAGATACTTTTAAAAACTAAACGCTCAATGCAGCGTGCCGAACCGTGCGCGAACGACAGTGCACCACGGACGGGAGTCAGATTTTATTTATCACGTGAGGAGAGTGAGTCGAGCTGACTGACAAGAGTGAGGTGAGAAAGACAAGACGATGGCAGAAGATTGTTTAGAAAGGAAATGCAAAGGCGCCTGTTTGGCAATATTTTAGATTTTGAAAAGCCTATTGACTGGAAGTTTTTTTTAAACATTCGTTTCTTATTTATTTGGTTCCACAGTGTTTGCCGATTACTTTATTTAAACTTTGTGTATTTTATTTATTTTATTTTAAATCAAGGTGTATATGCCTTGCCTCCAAGCTTTCTTATTCGTTTTGCTAATAAACGTTCTATGTTTCTTATTTATTTGGTTCCACAATATTTGCTGATTTTCAGTTTTATATACCTATTTCAACTTTGTGTGGCCTAAATAATTTGTTATTTTATTAGGCATAGGCCTATATGGTGTCTTTTTATTCGTTTTGTTAATAAAAGTTCTGAGTTTGACGTTGCTGTTGCTTGAATTGAATCAACGCTGAATTGCCCCTAATTTGAAAGTGAAAGTAAAACGTGCACGGTGCTTTTTCAAGCTATTTGAAAGCCAAGAAATCCGAGGAAAAGAGGGAAAACTCAAACGAACAATTGCTTGATGCCGAATTGCG